TGGGGGTTGTGGTTGGCTGTGGTCCCGGGGCCCCTCCTTTACTTTGTATTCGTTGGTTTCTGGTGTATGTCAGTTATGTTCAGTACCTCCCTTTGAGTTTCCCCATTAGATAACTGAGCTCCCCTCCTCTCTCCTCCCCTTCCCTATAAAACCTTGTCGCTTCCCCTGTTCGGGGCCATTTTGCTGGTTGGTGCCCCTCCTTGTTGGTGCCTCCGGATCACCCAATAAACCGACTGTTCACCCCCAGCAAGTGGTCACCTCCTTATTCGTCTCGCGTGCGCAACTCCGAGCTCTTCCTCCAGTCCAGCCTGAGGCCAAGACGCCGAGGGGGGATGGCTTCTTATGCGCAGGGGCGTTGGCCTTCTCACCCCTCGTGCTAGCCGGATCTAGGGCCGCGTACGCCCTCGCGCAATTTGACTTTTGCTTTTAAAAATTTTGAGAGAGAACAGTAAAAATTTTATAAAACTACTATTTATATTAAAAATGTAAACATGTAGCCTACCTGCAAGCTTCCTCCTGTGGGTATAGTTTATGCTGCGTGTTGTTCCATTGCTGAGCTCTGGGACTGTGTGACCATAAGGCAGGGCAGACAGTGGCAAAACCATTTCTTACACTAAATAAACCAGATATTTCGTATAGGCCTTTTATTTCTAGTAACCACTACAGAATAGCCATGGACATGACAATGAGCACAAATTTTGCCATCTCTTCCACTTTTATAAAGGACTTTTTATAATGTTTCTGAAGATGCAGTAGAGGACTTCTGTATTGATCCAGGCTTTTTTCCTGTAGACATACGCAAGAAGAAAAGTACTTGAGCCTGGTATTTATACTGTCAGATTCTCAAAAGACCATACTCAGTTTTTAGAATTAATTATATGTTTCCCTGAATGCATAAATTACTGCAGTTTATACACTTAATATAAAAACATAAACCCCACATATTTCTCTTATTGCATCAATCAAGCACTCTCTAGACCACCATATAGCAAACATTGCATTTTCTAAGTAGTAGAGCACTGATACATCTAAAGACTTTAATTACTTAAACATCCATTTGCCTAAAGCTCTATTCTCTTAGTCTCTCTCTAACAGCTCCTCACAAATCCATTGTGTTTTCTTTTTCATACCTCTTTATATTCTTCTTTAATAACAGTAATCTTTCACTTCGAGTTTAATCTTCACCAGCCGATTAATAATGTACAGATTCATTGTAAGACTTTATTAAAATATTTTATTCTGCAGTCTTTTATTAAATTGTCATGAGAGTTGTGACTCTTAAGGGATTTTAATAATATCATTACACTTAGCTTTTAATTGTCAGTTCTTACACATATCTTTTAATAATTTTGGGCTTTGTGTGTTATGACACTAAAGATATTTTTTCTTGGTTTTTTTACAGACTTTTACAGGAAGATTAATCAGTGGTCTCTTTTATCTTCCATTTCTTGGGTGGCTTTGTTTTATGTCAGATTTTCTGTGATAATAAAAAAGTAGGTAATATTAAGGCAAAATTGTATTAATTTATTGCATTGTCTACACTATCTATAGTCATTCTCTACTGTATTGACTACACTAGAGCTAAAAGTAAATGATTTGCTTTCATAATTTCATAATGAGAAACTCATCTTAACCTCTTTCATTTCAGAAATAATTCTTCCTTAGTGCAGTTTGAAGATTTTCTGTGCTAATGTTTGGGTTTTTAAAGAAGGCTTTTTTCCGCCCTCTTAATAAGAGAAGTGCTGATGGCCATAACATTAGTTTTTTTAAACTGTGCTTTTAAAAAAATATAGAGGTGAAAGCAAAAGGTATCTGGTTCTGTGGGCCATTTTCTTAGACTTCCTTGTAATTAAATCCTATATTGTGCTGGGCAAATGCAAATAAATTTGAAAAATTCAGTGGGCTACCTTCCTGAGTGTTCCCACAGATACTTTCCCACAGACTGTTCCCACAGTGTAAGCTCATGTTGGAATTACATATGTAAATATATGTGGTAAAAAACTAGAGAAGATGGGAGCATATCGTGGATTATCTCATTTAGAATTGCTTTCATTCTCTGGTTTAAAGAATGCAATAGGTATTAAGTGCCAATAATAATTTCTAGAATCCTCAAGGCATGACTTAAATATTACGAACAATCTTTTGCAACAGTTACCGAGAAGGCAAGTAAAGCAGACTTAGCCATTTTTACATTTTTGCTAGCTTAAGCATGTTGTTTCATGCATTCCTAACCAAGAGCAACATGCCTGCAATGGGCTGACAGCTACAGTCTCCCTGGTGATTACATTTTTTAAAAATTTGACAGCAAGCAAAGTAAGCCTTTTCCTCAGCATCTCTGCTGATAATACACTGCATGGACATAAGCTTCCTAAGTAAACTTAGAAATTATTGAGACTTCTAAGACTACAGAACTTAGGAAAGTGTTCCTGTCTGCTTCACAATTTTAACTGACAGACTGCCTGTGTTTTTGGAATTGACTGATTATAAATTTATCAACACAAATATGTTTCTTTGATTTGAAGAGTATCTATATAAATTGGTTTTAGATTCAAAATGCACCTGTAGTCAAAAAAACACCCAATTCTAAAGGAACTGAATATTATATTTTTCTATATCTTGCTATTAAAGTAGTACATAATGAAAATACACTAATGTTTGTAAAATTTGCTACAAAATAATTTGACTTGGTAAGCATTACACTGAGCACAAGCTGAAGAGAAAGAGTGCTGGGAGCTGTCTCTGTTGGAGGACCTCTGAAGTCAGGAAGACTTTGGATACATAAAAGACTTTATGGAGTAAGTACGGAATAGTCCCTCTTGTGGCACTTCTTTCCCTAACTCCCCAGTCTTATGAAATTATTTATAAATACGAAATGGCCATTAAAGTGATGATTTTCAAATGAATTATTATATATTATTACATTTTTATTTTTGATATTTAAACAGTTTTACTCCATAGGAAGCCTGGTGAAAAAATCAAGTGCTTTATATCCAGACACTGATCTCACCCCACATTTTCAGGGTATAAATCTGTGCACTGTCTTAAATCTGTCTTTAGAACGACAGAATTTCTTTAAAAATATAAATTTCATAGAAATGTAGAAAAGTGTATATTTTTTGTTTTCATTTTCAATTTAACCTTAAAACTTATAGTTTATTCTTCTGTCTTATGAAGATCATGCAGAAATACTTTTTTTTTCTTCAGTATCTGGAATCTTCTTGGTTTCCTCTCCTCACTATGTATCTGTATCTAGAGAAATGGCCTTTTTTCCTCCTAAATTTTACATATCTCTTTCCCTTTTTTTTTTCCCCTACAAGGATATTTCCTCACATTTCTCAGAAATTCAGTCTCTCTTTCATAACTTATCTAGTCCCTTACATTCTACACTGCCTTGAGAAATATCATCAGAAGCCAACAACCAGAGCAATAAATGGACAAAGATTACAACAAAATGAAACAAGAGAAACCAAATAATCTCAGTTCATGTTTTGGAATTACCATACAGGCTAGGCAGAGGAAAGGCCCGCATATACACTTTTGGTTCATTATGAGCTATAGAGCTGCAAAGAATTTGACTATAATAGGCCATGCAATTTCTGAACTTACTTCAAGGTCACCTGCCTGTGGTCTTGAGAGGATGCCATAGGAGGGAGAAACAAGCCCCTGTTTCCTGCAATCCATTAAACATCAGGCGATGAAGCTAGAGCAAGGAAAAGGTGACAGAAACACTAGTTTAGACAAGAAGAAAGAATCATGTCTCTCTCTTCAAGAAAGTTTTCAACATACATGCATCAGCTTTTAAGAGAGAACATTTGTTTCCTGGCAATATATATTTTCAAACCTTGCTGTTTTCTTGTTGCTTCCACTGCCTACCCTGCAACAACCTTTGGTGGCTTAGCTTGGAGCTCTTTCCCCCATCCTCATTCCTGGGATGCCTACAAAAATCATTGTTTCTTATGCATCCCAAACTGAGTTGATACTTGTCACTCCAGGTACCTGTCACTCATATGTTTGTCCAACATAATCCTGGGTTACGCTGATGAAGTGCCATCAAATTCATCACATTCAGCCAGAACAATTATGAAAACACGGAGTCTTACAAATTACAGAATCACCATATCCACTTTCAAATGTGGACATATTGAATACAGCATGTGTAGTGAAATAAGCCACTAGAACTTCAAAACTGTTCCAGATGCTGGCTGACAGACAAAATCAGCTGTGACTCAGCTTTATACAGGGCAGATATATCACCAGGAACTAAATTCCAATCTTTCTTAAAAGCCAGTGGGACTTTGGTTCTGATTTCAGGGGACCAGAACTTCAGCCAAGACAGGTAATACAAAAGTAAACTCTTTGATACATTTATTGTTGTTTGCTTTAGTATTAGCATTTTTTTCATTACTGCTATTGCAGGAGCTCTTAATAAGACTAGAAATAGACTGAAAAAATACTACAACGTTTGACTAAAGTGATCCTTAAGCAACAAATAAAACACTAGCACTGGTATAGCATAGCGTTATATTTAATTTCCCTTTACAAATTTATTTTCCCTTGCCTATATAGATGTGAGGAGAAGATGTGTTCATTTTGCTTTTTACCAGTACTAAAAATATTTTTCTTGTCATTTAGGAAATGTCTTTTCTCTATATTGTAGCTGCACAATGTTCTGGCCCAAAGCATAATTTCATGCATTTGCTTCCTATATAAGAATTAAATTAACCATGGAAAAAAAAAGTGATGTCCTTAAAACTATCAAACTGCAAGTTTTTCTGCACAGAATGCTGAAAATCTAGTATTATGTTTACAAAAGTAAAGTTACAATTACAAGGTCATTTTTAGCTTTAACTAAGGTGATGACAGCACTTGCAAGTGCTGCAAATCCATCCATACAACCACATATCCAGCAGCTTACATTTTTGTGAAAATAGCAGGAGAAGTCTAAAAAAGAGTTTCAAAGTAGATTCATAGGCCATATCCAGATTAAAGTGGATATGAGGTTGTCTGTGTTACAGTAATGTTCAGTACAGCCTGAAAAGAGCTCCTCAAGCTGCCAGAGTGGCATTGATGGCATATTCAAGCTCACTGGCAAGATGGAGGTTACTCTGTGTGACGTGTTTAATGCTGCTTTGGATTCAAGAACATTACCAAAACAAAAAAAAGCTCTTATTCAGAGGCCTGAATAAATAAAATTATACCAGAAGAGAGCTAAACAGGCATAGCTCCCTGGATACAGAAAGGAACAAGACCAGAAGCTGAAGCCGTCTCAGGGCTCATGCAGGGGCAGTGCAGTCCCCAGGAGCCCCCGGGGAAGGCAGCTGCAGACACAGAAGGGGCACAGCCCCACAGCCCCCACAGCATCGGAGGGGCTGTGCCCACTGTGAGCACCAGCCCGGTGAACTGCAACAGCACTGCAGGTGCACAGAGTTTCTCCACTTAATTATTATTTAATCTTTCCTGCAAGTAGCAAATACAATCGTGTTGCATCACAAACACCAAACTTTTTGTTAGAGCCCCAAAATATGAAGTTTTTTTACAGATAGAAAGAAGGTCATAGTATCATAGAATATGTTGAGTTGGAAGGAATCTATCAGGATCCCTGAATCTGCTCCTGGCCCTGTGCAAGACACCCCAATAATCCCATCATATGTATTGGAGTGTTGTCCAAACACTTCTTGAACTCTGTCAGGCTTGGTGCTTTCACACCTCCCTGGCAAGCCTGTTCCAGTGTTCACTACCCTCTGGGTGAAAAATTTTCTGATATCCAACCTAAACCTCCCCTGACTCCAGCTTCATGCCATTTCCTCAAATCCTTGCACTGGTTGTGAGAGCAATGGGATTGGCACCTGCCCCTTTGCTTCCCCTCACGAGAATGTTGAAGACCACAGTGAGGTCTTCCCTCAGTGTCTTCCTCTCCAGGCTGAACAAACCAGTGACCTCAGCTGTTACTCATAAGGCTTCCCCTCCAGATCCTCCACCATCTTTGTGTCCCTCGTTGGGACACTATCTAACATTTGACTAAATTTGATCAATATTGAGCAACGAACCAAGTATTTTTTTTATAAAGAAAAGCAACACCTAAGCACGCCTCTTGAAGACCGGTATGAGCTTCGGCAAACGCGGGACGGGCGGCGCCCTACGATCCCGGGCCGCGCCGGGGCGGCTCCCAGCGGGGCGGCGGCTCCCCGGGCCCGGCCGGGTGCAGCGCTGATCCGGCTCCCTCACGCCTCGGGCGGGCTCGGGGCGCGGCGGGCGCGGCCGCGGCGCTCCCGCCCCGTGGGGGGGGCGGTGCTGCTGACGGCGCCAGCCCCTCCAGACCTTCCGAGCAGCTCCCGGCGGGGAAGCCCGACCCGCCGCGTGTGGCCGGGCGCCCGCCGGGAGCACCGGGCGGTGCATGGGCGCTCTTCTCCAGCGGGCAGGGTCGCGCTCCCCCCACTCCCCCCGCCGGCTGCGCGAAGGAGGACGGCGGAGCATGCCACCGGCGGGGCGGTTCCGCGGGGACTGACATGTTGCTGAAGGAAGGCAGGCGCCAGCCCCTCTGCCTCTCCCCGCGGTAGCGGAGGCGATGCTGCAGGGCGCTCCCCGGGCTCTCCCGCAGCCGCCAGTCTATCGCCCAGAGCAGCCGCGCTCGCTGCTGTGAGCGGCGCGGCTTCGGCCCGGCCGAGGCGACGAGCGGCGCGGGCCCGCACCCGTGCCCGGGGCGGCGGCGGCGGCGGGGAAGGCGCTGCCCGCGCCCGCGGGCGGCTCCGCGCGGCGGATGCGTGTGCATGAGCGCTGCACCGAGCGGGCGCAGGAAGCGCCCCCGCTCCGCCGCCTCCATCTTCCAGGGCAGCAGGACCTCGCCGCACGGCCGCGACAGCGAACGCCGGGGCAGCGGCTCCGATAGCGCCTACCAGATCCAGAGAACCCTGGACGACTGTAAGATGGTGGGTACCCCGGGCGGGCTTGCCGTAGTTTTTTACCTTTTCCGGGCTCTCCCGGCGCAGGTAGCGGTGCCGTTCTTCCCGCCACCTTGGCTATTCCCATCACGTGCAGTTGCACTGTTTTTGAAACCGCAGTCCCCTCCGGGGTGCTGCCCTGCGCCCCAACTCGCCGCGGTTCCAGAGCGGAGCCGAGAGGTTCGAGGAGACCTGAGGGAGCCGGCTGCGGGACAAGGAGCGGAGCCGGTCGCCTGGACAGTCCTGCGGGAGCAGGAGTCCTTGCCCCAGTACACACACAGCAAAGCAGCTGGAGTTGCTTTTTTAGTAGATCCGTCCAAATCTGTCCCCAGGCTTGGGCGCACTGAAGCCTAAATGGGTAAATAGTTGCCTCCAATGAATCGCTGCACTACTTGCTGTCTTGTGCAGCAACCGCATGTTTGCCCTAGTATCCTTCTAAATAAGGAGACCTAGAATTAGAGGCCCTGAAATGATGTTCCTGATGGTACCTGTTACCAGTCTTCCCAGAGTAGCTGGTTGCAGTTGTAAAACCTCAGGTGAAACGCCTGTTTCTGTTATTTATGGACTGTCACATTCCGGTATGAGATTTTTCCTCAGTCATACTCAAAATGCTTGGATTCTGACACTTTCCTCCAAATCAGCACCGTATGCTTGCTTTCAAGCTTCCTGAGCTCCAGTCAGCCTGACACTGAGCCCCAAAATTACTCCTCTAGCTAGTAACAGATGTAGGAAAAAAATAAAGTCGCTGCTACTTTTCTGGGTAAATCTGTACCTGACTAAAGCTCTGTCCAGTAGCAATGGAGCTGCTACTTCTCTTCTGCTGGATTCTGGCAATTTTTTTTCCTCTGGTGCTGAAAAATGTGCTGGCAGATTATCCGCTCTGATGCTTCAAGATTGGGAGCCATTCCCAGTGCATGGAGGAACAAAAGCTGCCACAGTAGCTCTATAAATATACCCAACAAGTGGGTCTTAGTAGGTTCTGCCTGTTTACTTATTCTCAATAGCATAATGTTGTTAGTTGCAGAGAAGTTTTTAGAATTGACCGATTAGAAATAAACTATGTTTTATAGATGGACTGTCAAGTTGTGATAGGATTTGGGAGGTAAAATCAGTGTGGTTTTTTTCTTGTTCTGTGTCTTGATTCAGCAACATATGTGTGGTTTTGTTTTCCTGGATAGCGCTAAGGTGTCTGGATGAGTCTGTTTAAACAGGGGATGTCAGGTGAGACCTGGCAAAATGGGTCTGATGCAACCAGTTACCAGTTACAGGATGCGACATTTTTCTTCCTATTGCAGAATAATCACACTATGACACTACACAGTACAATTTTTTTCCTCTCCATTGCCTTCATGCATTCTCTTAAGCTGCAGAATGATAAAAGTTGAGGACTTGTTTAGCAAATATTGTGCCTAGGGCTTTGTTTGATGTGTGCTTTTGGGTTTGTTTGGGATCTGGGTGTGGGAGGGTGCAGATGTATTGAAATGCACTTGGGCTGACTTGCTGCTCCTGAAGCAGAGGAACCTATTTGCTATTCTTAAAATGAAATTTCAGAAAGCATGGTCAAAACTATTTTTGATACCAGTTCTCAGCTATACAGTTAATTGCAGTGGAATGCATCAAGGGTATGAATATAACACTGCAGAGGTGACTCGTTTATTTACTGAGCATGAGAATTTGAGGACTTGACTTTAAAAATTAGTAGCTCTGATAGACTTCAGGCTCTCAGTATGCTTTTATGTTGAGTATGTTGAACTCCTGGTGGTAATGATGACTGCAGAATTATGAGCAATTGCTCTTGTCTGTTTTTATATCGTTTGGAATTGAGGTCAAAACACAGATAAATAAATATTCTGTTCTATTACTCTAATCCTTCCACCCCCGCCACCATGTGGAGCAAATGGTCTTATATGCATTCTTTCAGAAGACAGCAAATGCTTCGTTTCTTTAAAATATCATTCCATGTGCGTGATCGGTGGAACTAAACAATAATGGTCTTTCTGTAACAGTAAAATGATCCATTTATCCAATAAGATCTGTATGTATCTGTTGGATATTGGATTTCTATGCAGGTTGTTGTGTTTATTTAATGATTTGTTCCTTTTTCCCACATGCACTTTAGAAAAGGTGCTTTCTGGAATTTTAACAGGAAAGTGCCTATCTGGTACATCTTCTCAGTCAGTAACAGCAGATGAGTTTTAAGTCAGAAATCTGGGTTGAAGGGAAGTAACAGAACAGAAATCATTACAAAATAAATTAGCAAAATTGCCAATTTAAAAGCAAATGCTACATTCCAGTCCCTGAACATGCTGTTAATCAGGAAGCAGGAGAAGCAAAGGCAGTAATTTCTGGAGATATTTTCGCCTTTCATGATAGCAAAAAATAACCTCATGCTACTAGTAAAGCAGATGTTTTTTTGTCTGCTTAATATTTTATACTAATAACTCAAACACTTTCAGATATTAAAAGCAGAAACACTACTTTCCTACAGATGAACATTTATAGCTCACCGAAGAAGCAGCTGCCATGGAGGCTCTAGTTGTTTACTGAATTGTGTGCTCTTGATCCTGTGTGCTACGAAATTGTGAGAAGCAAGAACAAGCCCTAGGTTGGGCATGATTTTAAAACATGGATTGTTTTTACCAATGTAGTTAAAAATTCTCATGCATGTAAATTGTTTTTGTTTTTCAGCTTGTCCAGGAGTTCAATACCCAGGTGGCTCTCTATCGGGAGCTGGTCATTTCTATTGGGGATGTCTCAGTCACCTGTCCTTCTCTGCATGCAGAATTGCACAAAACTCGAACCCGAGGATGTGAGATGGCCTATCAGGCTCATCAAAAACTAGCAGCAATTTCTGGGTAGGAGATGACTTATTAAAGCCGTATTCATGTGCTAATCTTTAAGTACTACATAATGCTTTGCCTGAGAGTTTGCATTCACTTATCTTTCTGTTTTAGGCGTAGGGGTGTATGACCACAAATTTTGCAGAATGTCTATGTCCTTACAATAGTGCAATTTTGTATCAAATCCTGGTCCCCTCACCAAGAACATATCCTTCTGATTTCACTGGATGCTTTTATGTGAGACAAACAGGATTTTACTGCTTATCACTACAGATCAAGGGGGAAGTCATGCCCTTCAAGGGTGAAGTAGCAATAGCTTTCTGTCCAGTCTTTCATTGAGTATACCTAATTGAATAGTAAGCGACACCTAGCTCAGTTCAACTAGAGTCTCAACAAAATTAAACCAAAATTAGGTGCAAACCGGGGGAATGGGATGCAAAAACTACTCTGAGAACTTATGTTTATCTTCTACATGTTTTTAAACCCTTGTTTGTGTTGAAATAAGAATGAAAGCTTTGCCAGCATATAATGTTTTAATTTATTCTTTGGTATTACATTATGTACATTCCTTTCCATGGTGACAGAATGTATTATCACATACTTGAGACTATGCCTCAGTGCAAGATCAACCAGCATAAATTGCTGTTTCCTAAAAAATGGGAATTCGTGCAGCTAATTTCATGTGGGTTCTTCACAGTATGGTGACTGGGGTATTTGTATTTATCATGTACCCCCCTGAGTCATGTCTTTCTGATTACACTTTGTCAGAACTTTCTGCATCTGTCTATCTACCATAAGGTATTTTGCACCACTAGCAAAAGAAAACACCTTCTTTTTTTGTTGCTCTGCCTAATCCCCGTTGAATTTCTTTTCATCACTGTAATATATAAAGAAGTCCTTTATAGGCTTGGTATATAAGGGGAGCCTGAACTAACATACCAAACAGAAGAGGATACTGGTTGGATATTTTAGTAGAATTGTCACTTACTTTTCAAGTAAGACTTTGTGCAAAGTCACTTAAGTTGATTTTGTGACCTCTTATTTGTTCCTCAAACAAATTACGTGCTTTTAAAATACTTAAGTCAGTGGGAACTTTTAATAAACCAGCAATGACAGTACATTGAAAATGTGAAAACAAACAGTAGTGAAATTTATCTTTTTTGCTTTCAGACTCAAAAGAAAAAGTAATATGAACCAAAATAGTACATTTGAATAGCTGAACTTATTTTGTGACTTTAAAATATTTTTTCCCTGTAAAGAAAACCACTGGTACATGCTCATTTAGAAAGTACGTGGGTTTTTTAAGCAATCATTTCGCAGCTGGAAGTCTGTCATATGCACAAAGATGTCCTGAAGGTTGTGCAGTTGCCGCGAGATTGACATTTGGCTAATCTAAAACTGTTTTAAATAACTCTGATAATACTGTGATATCCATAACAACTGGTAGGTGTTAGAAACTATCTGGAAATTACTGGTTTGGTTTGACACACAATTTACAGGATATGCTTCACATCCCCACGCTTCTGTAGCTGAGGAAAGCCATATGAGACATTAACTTTTTTATGTATTTGTGAGGAAAGGTGGAAAATGAGGATTAAAAGAAAGCAAAAAAGAAATAGAAGGAGAGGAGTAATAAATAGTCTTAAAGATTTAGTCTTCATTTCGACAAAAAGACTGATATAGTCTGTATGAAATAGGATCTGGAATAGGAATCTAATTGGATAGAAAGAAGTATCAGGAAGAAAAATGCTTAGGGACGGGAATGCATTAAGTCATCCTTAGTATTAGTCAGGAGGGTAGTGTGCTGCTCAGAAACTACTGTTATTCAGCATATGGGATGAAGGCTTACTTAGTTCACTGCTGTAGTTCAAAATGCACAACACTGCACTGGGTAACATGACAAGTTATGTCTTCCAGAGCTTATTAAAGAAGATGTGTTGCTTTTCCACCCAGAAATAGTAATAGCAAGTAACTGTTTATGTTACCAGCCTATAACATTTCACGAGAGAACAGCATTCTATTAATTAAGGCCATCAGTACTGTTCAGGTAGTCTCTAAGTGATCTACCTGAGAGCACTCTTACTTTTGAGAAGTTAATGTTAGTGTCTTAGGAGAATACTAAATTAATTTAACTTATTTGTGCTGTTTTCTTTGGAAAATTAGCAGACACCTTAATGTTACGCGGTTCCTCTTTGAATATATCAGGATTTCACAGAATCATGGAATTGTTAGGGTTAGAAGGACCTCTGGCGATCATCTGAAAATCACCTAGTCCAGCTCCTCTTGGCACTAGGGCATGTGAGACTCTTAAATACACATCTGACTTGGACAATAAGAAGAATTCCCTTTTTTAATTCATTTGTCCTACAAGACTAAGCAAGGTAACAAATGGGAAAGATGCAAAGACTTGGAAAGAAAAAAACAAAAGCAAATCCTCTATGCTGGAGAAGGGAGCTCTGGGAAGAAATCTGGAAATTGTAGAAAGGGAAGGAAATGCTGAAGTGGAGATAATGCATTAGAAACTGAGCAGGATAGAAGTCATGAGGACCAAAAAATGCATTGGTCATGGACATATCAGTTCGGGAATATTAGACAGACATCAGAGCAGGACAGTGATGTAATGTGAACAAGAAGAGAAGGCTGCAAGTGTACCTGTAGAAAACGGCTACACTGATATGCCAACAAAAGCTGATTCAGCTGTAGAATCAGAGGAAGTGAAAGTCACGGTTATGTTTTAAAAACTGAGAGAAAGAAAGACAAAGGAGATGATGAAAAAGAAATGAAGTAGCAAGGAAACATAAAACGTTATGAAGTCTACACTGGATTAGACCATATCACCCCATCTAGCTCAAACCTGACAGCTGCTGGTAGCAACGACTTCATTAAAAAATAAGCAAAGATACAAAAAACAGGTTGTGCATGGAACGATGACTTCTCTCGCCAGCACTCAGTAAGTAAAGGCTGCATGTGAACAGTCAGTATCTGACAAATGTGATTTCTCTAAACATTAAGATCTTTTACTCAAAAAATGCTGAGGTTGAATAAGGACATCTTTACAGTGTGATGTATTTAAAAACCTATTTACTAATAAAATATTACCGAAAAACAAAATTTCAAATTAAGTCTCCAACTTAATAGGGCCTCAAAGATATTACATCCTCTTCTTTACTTGCTCTGATATCTTTTTCTTATAGAAGTAGTGAGATGTTAGCAGAGGGGAATAAAGATCAGAAATAAAAATAATCTAAATTGAAATATCCCAATTCTAATTAATGGTCGTTTAGGAATGCAAGTCAAAGTAAACCCTCCTTTCATTGTTGGCTTTCTGAGGACTTTAGGTCGATTCCTGCTCTTACACTAAAAGTTAGTGATTTTTAATGAACTATCTTCTGAAGAAGGTAAGTAAGGTTCAGTCCTTTCATCACATTTTCTTCTATATAATGTAGCAGAAATTAAAGTATTTACATTTTTCATCCTTATAGTGTTAGTTGTCATGGTCAAAACTGGAGAAAGTATAGCAACAAGAAAATGAGTCAGCATGATTTTTTCCAGAGAAAAAGAAAGGAAAAAATATTTGTAACAGTAAGAAGACAACAGAAAAAAGATGTGAACCTCTGTTTTGGAAGGGAGTCTACTTTATGGAATGATAGAGTGGTGATCTTTTAGAGTTCATCAAATGGGGTTTCATCAGCTGGTTTTATATGTGGAGTCCACTGAGTCTGGGATGTCAACAGAGAGATAACTCAGAATTGTATTTTAAGATACAGGTCTGCACAACTGTGCACACACTTTTGTAAATATGTAAATGTCCTTACATATTCTCAGGCACTTGATATGCTTACATAATGTGTGCACTTGGCAAACTGAGACCAGAACTGGCAGTGTCTCTGTGACAGTCTGATATATATATATATATATATATATGTTGGCAGTGGCTTTTTTCGCATGAAACAAAACTTGTGTGAGAAGCTCAGGGGTGCATGGCAATGTACATCTGTGTGAGCATAGCTCTAGAAGTAATTTCTCTCTGTTTTTCTGACTGGTGTTGCAAAGTCCAAAATATAAGGAGGAATAAACCTCTCTCTGTACTAGTATCTGCTGGGGCATCAGCTCTGCAGAAGAGCATCTTGGGGGGTTCTGGTGAACATCAGGTTGAACATGAGCCAGTGCTGTGCCCTTGTGCAAAGAGGGCCAGCAGCCTCCTATGCTGCTTTAGGAAGTGTTGCCAGAAGGTCGATGGAGTTCATCATTCCTTTCTGCTCAGGGCTGTTGAGGCCATGTCTGGAATACTGGGTCCAGCAATGGGCTCCCTAGAAAAAAGGAGGAAAGGACATCCAAAGCAGGGTCTAATCAATTACCTTAAAGATGGTTAGGCAGCATCCCACATACAAGGCAAGGCTGCTAGACCTGGGATTGTTTAGGTTGGAGAAGAGAGGGCTGGGAGGGGAATGTTATCCATATACATAAAAACTGCCTCCTGGAATAGTGTAAAGAAGACTCAGTCAGATTATTCTCAGTGATACACAGTGATAGGACATCAGGTGTAAACTGAAATACAAAGAAAAATTGATTTAAAATTTTAAATTCCTTTTTTTCCTGTGAGGCAGGTAGAATATTGGAACAGGTGCAGTGAGAGGTTCTGGAGGCTCTGTCCTTTGAAATACTGAGAATTCAACTGGTCATGGCCCTCCATAACCCTCTGTAGCTGACACTGCTTTGGTAGGAGGCTTAGGCCAAATTAGTTCTGGATGTCCCTTCCAGCCTGTCATGAAGTCATCATAAATCTCCTTGGGAAAATTCAAAGAAGGTTTCCTTATTTGATACCCATGTGCATCTG